TGGGGCGGGGAGGCGGGGCTCCGTCTGTGGGTGGCCCCTGCGGCTGGGCGGTGGGAGCTGGTGGTGCGTGGAGGCTGGGCACCCTCTCTGCCTTGCCCTGCTCATGGTGGGTGGGCAGGGGGCAGCCGGTGTCCCCCCAGTGCCGAGATTCACTGGGGAGGGTGTCGGGGACTGCAGAGGCGGGCAGTTGTGTGGGGGCCTCTCAAACCTCAACCTGGGGCGAGACCTGTACAGCCTTAGGGACCCTCTGGGGGAGAAGGGTCTCCCCAAAGCTGGCACCTCTTGGGGACTGGGCGGGCATGCGCTGAGGGGGTCTGGGGACATGACAGGGATGTTTGTTAGGGCTCTGGACTGGTGGCTGGGAGGGCTGGGATGAGGAGTGAAGGGATTCCCGAGCAGCCGTGTGTGTCACTGGGGGTGTGGGATGCTTGGGGACCCCCCCTGGCCGGGTGTCCCTGAAGGGCAGCCTGGGGTGGGGGAACGAGGGTGAGGGGATGGAGCTGTGAGTAAGTTTGTGTGCCCATCCACAGCTGGGTGGGAGCGGGGCAGGGGGATGCTCGTGCCTGCCAATGCAGGCGTGCCAGCCAAAGCCATTGAGCAAAGCCCTCCCCGGGTGGAATCAACCCTGGCCAGGGCTGGCAACCGTCCTTGTCACTGCAGGTTTGATCCACCTGCAGCTGGCATGGGATGGAGGAGTGACCCGTGTCCTCTCTGGGCGTGCCAGGGGACAGTGGCAAGGTGCATGTGTGTCTGTGCAGGTGTGCAAGGTGGCACAGGCTTCCCATCCCACCTATGCCAGCACCGGCTTTGGCCCCTGGGCGAGGACAGGCTGTGACAGCAGCGTTGCCTGCCGGTGTCCGTCCTGGCAGAGGCGACCCTCAGGGGCACCCTCCTGGTAAAGCAGGAGCAGCCTTTCCCCATGTCAGCTGTTGGCCAGGGAGTCCCCTGATGTGTCCCAGGGGCACGGGAGGGCCAACACCTTCTCCTGGCAAAGCCTCCACCAGGGAGCGTGTGGGAGCAACGCGGGTTGTTCAGCCTTGTCCCTTGCCCCCCACACCCTTCCTGGTGTCCCTTGGGGCAGGGATGGTGCCTGGCCTGCATCCCAGTGCTGGCACTGCTCAGGGTGCTACCAGTGGAGCCCCATCTCCTGGTGTGGGGTTTGGTGGCTTTCTCAAGGGGTCTGCGTCCCTGGAGGCTTGACGAGACGTGATGTGCGGGGCGAGATGGATGGGCTCAGGGTCCAGCTGCTGTTGGGCATGAAGGAGCATTTGCAGGGGCTGCTCGCTCGGGTGGGCTCCCCTGGGTGCTCCCTGAGGTGGGGTGCTCTCCACCTTCCTGGCCCATCTCTGGGTCAGAGTGGCTCTGCCATGGCTCTGCCTGTTTTACCCTGGGCTGTGGGCATATGGCTGCCTGCTCCCTCCCAGTAGTCCCCCTTACCCCTGTGCTGGCTTCGACCTCCCAGCCCAGTGGTTGGCCAGTTGCAAGGCAGATGGGAGAGGTGAGGGCTGCCCAGTGAAATGCCCTCCTGACTGCCTCCACACCGGGCAGGGCACCCCAGGACCTATCCTGATGCTGTAGGTGCCTGATCCCCAGCTGGGGCGAGTGGTGCAAGAGCTGGCAAAAGCCCGGGGAGAGAAGCAGCATGCAGAGACCCCCCCTTTGCTTGGCAACCTCATCAGACACCAGCGTGCCAGGGGTTAAACACCTTCCCCACAGCCCCATGTCCCTCCTGGTTGTCCCCTGCCTTGGACCCCCTGGGTGC